GGGAAAGAGAGGGAGAGGAAGAGGAAGAGGGAGAGGGAGAGGATTTAAACCTCTCAATTTTTTTCCATACTTCAGAGAAAGCCAGCTGTCATACTTCTGAAAATCTGTGGGTAACCCTAAAAGAAGTTCTGCTCAAGAAAACTAATTGAGGCTCATGACAGGATATTAAAATTCTAAGCATCATGTGATGGTAACAAGTCTAAAACCAAGTAAATATTTTCCATAAAACAAATACTGATGATCCCAGATGTTAAAAAGCTCATAATTTCAATAGTACTTATATAGATTCTGGGCCTGGAGTATTAAGGATGATGATCTGGAACCAATGAAGACAGAAAGACACACGGACAGCCGTCCCACCATGTTCCTTGTAGAGCACTCAGAGACTTTATATGTCAATATATCGAGCGAAAGGGTTTCCACACCTAAGACAATTGCAGTTACAGGATGCCTATGACTGTAATTCATCCTTAATAGTATGATTAGAAGCAGATAAACAGAATAGAGAATGCAGATACAGAATAGAGGATAAAGATCAAATAAAACATTTTTACTTTTTACTGTTGTTGAAAATACATTAGGTGGACATACATTTGGACAGCTCACGCACTCCCTGTGTCTAATCACCTGAGTACCAGTAGTAATCGATATCACTGTGATATCCAAAGCAGAACTATTCCTGCTTTTGAAATTGTACAAAAACAACAGTAAAAATTCCTTTACCTGTCCAAACATAATGTTTCCTATGACACTAGAATAAGCAAGAATTATACTGTAAAAATACATTGTGAATAAAGTGTACGACGTAAAAACCTATACTGTAATTCAAGCAGGCTATATGCATAACTGTAATTTCAAACAAAATTTCTCCAGTGCTTAAAATCTTAGGCATATACTTAAGCATGTTAAAAATAAAAGTGGGCAGACTGGGTCTGCCTGTAATAGTAGCCCGTAGCAAATGGCTTGCAAAAAGCTCATAAGAAACAAGACAATTATAAAATAGTTCTTCCCCTGATATACCTTCCTAACTCTGAGAAACCAGCAGCTTGGGAACTTAGCAACAAAGACTGTAGTTGCATCACTGTGTTTTAATAACTCTCAATGGGCTTTGCTTTCATGAATTTGCATGACAATTTTTTAAAAGCCATTCATGTTTTTGATATACAAAAACCTTATGACAATGAGCTTCAAATTCTAATTTTTCACAATTCAATTCTGCATTGTTTGAAGAAGTGCTATCTTTTCTATTTGGCTTCCTGACAACTTAATCTAGTATCCCCTAAATCTTGCTATAAGCCACATTTGTCAGGCAATTCTCATTTAGTTCTTCCATTGCATTCAGGATCTCATAGCTCTATTATAATCCCTCTCAATCCTATCTTTCCTACTTGAAGCAGCAGCTATTTAATCTCTTCTTCTATGGAAGCTGTTTCATAACTTCGATAATTTTTGTCACTCTTCTCCATATATTTTTTTTTAAATTAGTAAAAGTGCACATGTAGAAGACATGGCTACTTCATGAATTAAATAGAGGAAGGTCCTCTGTCCTTTTCTTTTCTGAAGAATTCCTATCACTGTTTCTCTTTCTGATTGTTAATAATATAAAGCCATACTGTGTACCAGGTTTTAGTTTTTGCATACATACATTCATTTGCATTTATCAAAACTGAATTTTCTCTCTTACTACCCAGTCACTAAGTATAAGAGTCTTCTGAAAACATTCACAGTGGATATTTGTTTTTATTGAATATCTTTGTATCACTAGCAGAATTTGCCACTTTATATCTCCCTTAGATCACAGAATCACAGAATCGTTTAGGTTGGATGGGACCTCTGGAGATCATCTAGTCCAACCTCCCTGTTCAAGCAGGGTCACCTAGAGCATATTGCCCAGGGTCACATCCAGACGGGTTTTGAATATCTCCAGCGAAGGAGACTCCACTACCTCTCTGGGCAACCTGTTCCAATGCTCTGTCACCCTCACAGTGAAGAAGTTTTTCCTCAGGTTCAGATGGAACTTCCTGTGGTTCAGTTTCTGCCCATTGCCTCTTGTCCTG